TGAGACCGATCACATGATCGTACAATACACACTGAGACCGATCACATGATCGTACAATACACACTGAGACCGATCACATGATCGTACAATACACACTGAGACCGATCACATGATCGTACAATACACACTGAGACCGATCACACAATCGTACAATACGCACCGAGACCGATCACACGATCGTACAATACACACTGAGACCGATCACATGATCATACAATACACACTGAGACCGATCACACAATCGTACAATACGCACCGAGACCGATCACACGATCGTACAATACACACTGAGACCGATCACATGATCATACAATACACACTGAGACCGATCACACGATCATACAATACACACTGAGACCGATCACACGATCGTACAATACACACTGAGACCGATCACATGATCATACAATACACACTGAGACTGATCACATGATCATACAATACGCACTGAGACCGATCACATGATCATACAGTACACACTGAGACCGATCACATGATCATACAATACACACTGAGACTGATCACATGATCGTACAATACACACTGAGACCGATCACATGATCATACAATACACACTGAGACCGATCACATGATCGTACAATACATACTGAGACCGATCACATGATCGTACAATACACACTGAGACCGATCACACGATCGTACAATACGCACCGAGACCGATCACACGATCATACAGTACACACTGAGACCGATCACATGATCATACAATACACACTGAGACTGATCACATGATCATACAATACACACTGAGACTGATCACATGATCATACAATACACACTGAGACCGATCACATGATCGTACAATACACACTGAGACCGATCACATGATCGTACAATACACACTGAGACCGATCACATGATCGTACAATACACACTGAGACCGATCACACAATCGTACAATACGCACCGAGACCGATCACACGATCGTACAATACACACTGAGACCGATCACATGATCATACAATACACACTGAGACCGATCACACAATCGTACAATACGCACCGAGACCGATCACACGATCGTACAATACACACTGAGACCGATCACATGATCATACAATACACACTGAGACCGATCACACGATCATACAATACACACTGAGACCGATCACACGATCGTACAATACACACTGAGACCGATCACAGGATCGTACAATACACACTGAGACCGATCACACGATCGTACAATACACACTGAGACCGATCACATGATCATATAATACACACTGAGACCGATCACACGATCGTACAATACACACTGAGACCGATCACACGATCGTACAATACACACTGAGACCGATCACACGATCATACAATACACACTGAGACCGATCACATGATCATATAATACACACTGAGACCGATCACACGATCGTACAATACACACTGAGACCGATCACACGATCGTACAATACACACTGAGACCGATCACACGATCATACAATACACACTGAGACCGATCACATGATCGTACAATACACACTGAGACCGATCACACGATCATACAATACACACTGAGACCGATCACACGATCATACAATACACACTGAGACGATCACATGATCGTACAATACACACCGAGACCGATCACATGATCGTACAATACGCACTGAGACCAATCACACGATCGTACAATACGCACTGAGACCGATCACACGATCGTACAATACGCACTGAGACCGATCACACGATCATACAGTACACACCGAGACCGATCACACGATCATACAATACACACTGAGACGATCACATGATCGTACAATACACACCGAGACCGATCACACGATCGTACAATACACACTGAGACCGATCACACGATCGTACAATACACACTGCGACCGATCACACGATCGTACAATACACACTGAGACCGATCACACGATCGTACAATACGCACTGAGACCGATCACACGATCGTACAATACACACTGCGACCGATCACACGATCGTACAATACACACTGAGACCGATCACACGATCGTACAATACGCACTGAGACCGATCACATGATCATACAATACACACTGAGACTGATCACATGATCATACAATACACACTGAGACTGATCACATGATCATACAATACACACTGAGACCGATCACATGATCGTACAATACACACTGAGACCGATCACATGATCGTACAATACATACTGAGACCGATCACATGATCGTACAATACACACTGAGACCGATCACACGATCGTACAATACGCACCGAGACCGATCACACGATCATACAGTACACACTGAGACCGATCACACGATCATACAATACACACTGAGACTGATCACATGATCATACAATACACACTGAGACTGATCACATGATCATACAATACACACTGAGACCGATCACATGATCGTACAATACACACTGAGACCGATCACATGATCGTACAATACACACTGAGACCGATCACATGATCGTACAATACACACTGAGACCGATCACACAATCGTACAATACGCACCGAGACCGATCACACGATCGTACAATACACACTGAGACCGATCACATGATCATACAATACACACTGAGACCGATCACACAATCGTACAATACGCACCGAGACCAATCACACGATCGTACAATACACACTGAGACCGATCACATGATCATACAATACACACTGAGACCGATCACACGATCATACAATACACACTGAGACCGATCACACGATCGTACAATACACACTGAGACCGATCACATGATCGTACAATACACACTGAGACCGATCACACGATCGTACAATACACACTGAGACCGATCACATGATCATATAATACACACTGAGACCGATCACACGATCGTACAATACACACTGAGACCGATCACACGATCGTACAATACACACTGAGACCGATCACACGATCATACAATACACACTGAGACCGATCACATGATCATATAATACACACTGAGACCGATCACACGATCGTACAATACACACTGAGACCGATCACACGATCGTACAATACACACTGAGACCGATCACACGATCATACAATACACACTGAGACCGATCACACGATCATACAATACGCACTGAGACCGATCACACGATCATACAATACGCACTGAGACCGATCACACGATCGTACAATACGCACTGAGACCGATCACACGATCATACAATACACACTGAGACTGATCACATGATCGTACAATACGCACTGAGACCGATCACACGATCGTACAATACGCACTGAGACCGATCACACGATCGTACAATACACACTGAGACCGATCACACGATCGTACAATACACACTGAGACCGATCACACAATCGTACAATACACACTGAGACCGATCACACGATCGTACAATACACACTGAGACCGATCACACAATCGTACAATACACACTGAGACCGATCACACGATCGTACAATACACACCGAGACCGATCACATGATCGTACAATACACACTGAGACCGATCACACGATCGTACAATACACGCTGAGACCGATCACACGATCGTACAATACACACTGAGACCGATCACATGATCATACAATACACACTGAGACCGATCACATGATCATATGCAAACACAGCTATATACAGGAATAGACTGAACACTCTACACAGTAAGTTCATTAGGTCAGCTAGCTGGGTGACCCAAACAAAAGGTGAATGGGAATCACACCTAGACAATGGTTGGATGAATTAGGATCTCACTACAGAGCAGACGATCCGGCTCCTACAGTGGAGTAGAGGAGAGCCCGGCATGATCAGCTCCTTCAATTCACATGTCTAGTTCAGAATCAACATTCAGGAATAGTCTTCATATGGCTGATAAATATTACTGTCCCATCTGAAGTCATTCCAACCGCATTCTCAGCGTCCATCAGTCACCCTGAGCCCCTAAGAGACATAAGAGGGATATGGGGAGCTGAGACAGGGGTCTCCCCACCTCTGCAAAGTGTGCTGTGCTCCATGAGCCCCCCACCCAAAGTGACTCCCATCACATTTACATTTCAAATTTGTTGTTGAATTCAATTTCACTTTCAAATTCAATTTGAGTCGTTCGCTATTTCGGACTACATTTTGTTGTGTTATCTCAGGTCCATTTAAACTCATCACTGTTGTAATTGGGAAATTCAACTACATCCCAATAACCAAAATGTTCATCAGGATTTCGATTCGGAACGAACCGAACCTCCCGTCTGCAGAACATGCTCAGTGTAGTCAATTCTATTCTATTTTCTTTGTTTCTTTTTTTATTCTTGTATATCTGTTCTAGTCCTTTCTATTCTATTCAATTTGTCAATTCACCTGTCTGCAGAACATGCTCAGTGTAGTTGATGTGTGCTGACCCGGGCTGAAATCTGATGCACGCACGAACAGGTACCACTAATGTCTACTTTAAATTTCTTATATTTTTTTCTTTCCTACTCTGACATTAGAGAGGAACTTCACTGAAATGTTGTCAGACGTAAACATCGTTGTGAAATAAAACTGAACAGAGTTTGGCCCACTATACTATTTGTGAGTCACTGGGAAGGATATTTATGTTTTGTATATTAGAGGGCCCTGTCCTTAGAGCTTACAATCTATGAGGGAGGGGCGTGAGACACAGATAATAACTGCGGGGGAGGGGCTGATGGACAATGTACACATACATTTGTTAGGTTCTGGCAGGATAGGCCTCTCTGAAGAGGTGAGTTTTCAGGGGTCGTCTAAAAGTGGACAGAGATGGAAGTAGTCGGACACATTGGGGAAGGGAGTTCCAGAGGATGGGAGCAGCTCTGGAGAATACCTGGAGGCGAGCATGGGAGGAGGTGACAAGGGAGCTAAAGAGAGCAGGAGGTCCTATGAGGAACGAAGAGACAGAACTGGTTGGTATTTTGAGAGCAAGTTGGTGATGTAGCTGGGGGCAGAGTTGTAGATGGCTTTGTAAGTTGTAAATATCTTGAATTTTATTAATTGGGTGAGCGGGAGCCAGTGGAAGGATTGACAGAGAGGGGTGGAGGACACTGAGTGGAGGCCAGTGGAGGGATTGACAGAGAGGGGTGGAGGACACTGAATGGAGGCCAGTGGAAGGATTGACAGAGAGGGGTGGAGGACACTGAATGGAGGCCAGTGGAAGGATTGGCAGAGAGGGGTGGAGGACACTGAGTGGAGGCCAGTGGAGGGATTGGCAGAGAGGGGTGGAGGGCACACTGAATGGAGGTCAGTGGAAGGATTGGCAGAGAGGGGTGGAGGGCACTGAGTGGAGGCCAGTGGAGGGATTGACAGAGAGGGGTGGAGGGCACTGAGTGGAGGACAGTGGAGGGATTGGCAGAGAGGGGTGGAGGACACGGAGTGGAGGCCAGTGGAGGGATTGGCAGAGAGGGGTGGAGGACACGGAGTGGAGGCCAGTGGAGGGATTGGCAGAGAGGGGTGGAGGACACTGAATGGAGGTCAGTGGAGGGATTGGCAGAGAGGGGTGGAGGACACTGAATGGAGGCCAGTGGAGGGATTGGCAGAGAGGGTTGGAAGACGTTGAGTGGAGGCCAGTGAAAGGATTGGCAGAGGGGGTGGAGAACACTGAATGCATGCAAGTGGAAGGATTGGCAGAGAGGGGTGGTGGACACTGAATGGAGGCCAGTGGAGGGATTGGCAGAGAGGACACTGAATGGAGGCAAGTGGAGGGATTGGCAGAGAGGGGTGGAGGATACTGAACGGTTTGTAAGGTGGATGAGTCCGGCAGCAGTATCCATGAAGGACTGGAGGGGGGGTGGCCTATGTAAAGGTAAGCCAGTGAGGAGGGAGTAGCAGTATTTGAGGTGGGAGATTATCCAGGGAGTGAGTTGGAAGCTTTGCGGTGTCATTGGTTAGGAAGGAACGTATCTTGGAGATGTTGCGGAGGTTGAGGTGGCAAGCTTTGGACAGCAATTGGATGTGGGGCTGAAAAGATAGTTCAGAGTCCAGGACTACACCTAGCACCCTGGCATGTGGGGACGGGTTGATGGTTGAGCCGTTGATATTAACAGAGAAGTCGGGGGAAGGGACACGTGTGCTGTAATAATAATAATCATGAATTGCACAGACTCCCTCTTCTATTTGGTAATTTCATTTCCTGAAATGTTTACAGAATCTCTCCTTTGGCAGTAAGTGCAGCAGCCATATATACAATATCGGGAATCTCAGATTATTTAGAATCCTACTGAACAACAAGGAGAATTGATCACATAGAATGCCACTTGGGAATGAGGAGAACTCATCGAAGAGAATGCTACTGGTCAATGAGGAGAATCAATCAAACACACATTCACTGGGAAATGAAAAGGGCTACTGGGCAACAAGAGGATGTGGGTCATACACAATCCCACGGGGCAAAAGGAAGACTCATTGTAAATAATCCTAAGAGGGCAATGAGGAGAAGTCATCATACAAAATATCAGCTGGGTAATGAGGAGAACTCATCATACAAAATCCCAAATGGGCAGCAAGGAGAACTAATCATACATAATCCAACTGGACAATGAGGAGAACTCACAGTACAGAATTCCAATTGGACAATGAGGAGAACTAATTGTACAGAATTCCAGTTGGGCAATGAGGAGAACTAATTGTACAGAATTCCAGTTGGGCAATGAGGAGAACTCATCATACAGAGTCCTATTGGGCAGTGAGGTGAGCTTATCGTACAAAATCCCACTGAGAATGGAGGATAACTCATCATACAGAATCCTATTGGGCAGTGAGGAGAGCTTATCATACAGAGTCATATGTGGACAATGAGGAGAACCCATCATACAAAATCCAAGCTGGACAATGAGGAGAACTCATCACACAAAATCCCATCTGGACAATGAGGAGAACTCACAGTACAGAATTCCAACTGGGCAATGACGAGAACTAATTGTACAGAATTCCAGTTGGGCAATGAGGAGAACTAATTGTACAGAATTCCAGTTGGGCAATGAGGAGAACTCATCATACAGAGTCCTATTGGGCAGTGAGGTGAGCTTATCGTACAAAATCCCACTGAGCATGGAGGAGAACTCATCATACAGAATCCTATTGGGCAGTGAGGAGAGCTTATCATACAGAATCCCTATTGGGAAGTGAGGAGAACTGATCATACAGAGTCATATGTGGACAATGAGAAGAACCCATCATACAAAATCCAAGCTGGACAATGAGGAGAACTCATCACACAAAATCCCATCTGGACAATGAGGAGAACTCACAGTACAGAATTCCAACTGGGCAATGACGAGAACTAATTGTACAGAATTCCAGTTGGGCAGTGAGGAGAACTCATCATACAGAATCCTATTGGGCAGTGAGGTGAGCTTATCTTACAAAATCCTCAATGAGCATGGAGGAGAACTCATCATAAAGAAATCTTTTGGGCAGTGAGGTGAATGGATCATACAAACTCCCAAATGGGCAATGAAGAGAACTCATCATACAGAATCCCTATTGGGAAGTGAGGAGAACCCATCATACAGAATCCCATCTGGACAATGAGGAGAACTAATTGTACAGAATTCCAGCTGGGCAATGAGGAGAACTAATTGTACAGAATTCCAGCTGGGCAATGAGGAGAACCCATCATACAGAGTCCTATTGGGCAGTGAGGAGAGCTTATTGTACAGAATCCCATTGAGCATGAAGAAGAACTCATTGTACAGAATCCCAATTGGGCATGATGAGAACTAATCATACACAGGGGCGGACTGACCATTTGGAAACTCGGGCACTGCCCGAGGGCCTGGGGTCAGTAGGGGGCCCCATGAGATGCCCCTGGTACCTTTTTCATAGGCTTTTTTGAGTTTGGGCAAGGACACAGGGACCCCATGATCCTCTATTGCCCGGGGGCCCCTTGAGTTGTCAGTCCGCCCCTGATCATACAGAATCCTGTTGGGCAATGAGGTGAACTGATCATACAGAATCCCAACTTAGCAATAAGGGGAACTCATAGTACGGAATCCCAAGTGCACAAACAAGGGAACTCAATCCACAGAATCCTATTGTGCAGCAAGAAGAACGCATACAAAATCCAACTGGGCAGAAAAAGAGAATATATTATCAGAATAACAGTGTGCAACGAGGAAAACTGATCATACATGATACTATTAAGCAAAAAGACATGATCATACCTAATCCTACTGGGCAACAAGGAGAACTAATAATATAGAATCCCACCAGGGCAACCAGGAGAACTAATTATACTGAATCTCATAGGACAAAAAAGTACAAAGGCTTCTTGCAGAGAAACTGGGGGTACTGGGTAATGAGGAGAACGCAACGTACAGCTGCCAATGGCGGGATATGAACTGCATGCCCATAGCATTTAAGCAACATGGAGTGCCTGAATTTATTTAAAGTTCCCTGTTCATTGTGATCAGCTTTACATTTGTTTCTTTTTTTTCTTTTCTACTTTATTGTTAGAGTGCAACTTCACCTAAATGTTTCCAGAGATAACAAGCCATTGTGAAACTAAGGTTACCAGAATGTTGTGCAAGTCCCTATTTCTGAGTACAGTCACTGTGAAGAATGTGAATGTTGCCGTACTAATAGTGAAGTACACAGACTTCCTCTTTCTTGGAAATATAATTTCCTGAACATTTACCAGAATCATCTATTTAGGTATTAAGTGCAGCAGCCGTCTACAATCCTGAAAACTCGGATTATACAGAATCCTACTGGGGAACGAGGAGAGCTGATCATCCAGAATATTACTGAGCACCGAGGACAACCAATCATAAAGCATCCTACTGGGAAACGAGGAGAGCTGATCATCCAGAATATTACTGAGCACCGAGGACAACCAATCATAGAGAATCCTACTGGAGAACAAGGAGAACTGATCATCCAGAATATTACTGAGCACCGAGGACAACCAATCATAGAGAATCCTACTGGGGAATGAGGAGAGCTGATCATCCAGAATATTGCTGAGCACCGAGGACAACCAATCATAGAGAATCCTACTGGGGAATGAGGAGAGCTGATCATCCAGAATATTACTGAGCACAGAGGACAACCAATCATAAAGCATCCTACTGGGGAACGAGGAGAGCTGATCATCCAGAATATTACTGAGCACCGAGGACAACCAATCATAGAGAATCCTACTGGGGAATGAGGAGAGCTGATCATCCAGAATATTACTGAGCACCAAGGACAACCAATCATAGAGAATCCTACTGGGGAAGGAGGAGAGCTGATCATCCAGAATATTACTGAGCACCGAGGACAACCAATCATAGAGAATCTTACTGGGGAACGAGGAGAGCTGATCATCCAGAATATTACTGAGCACCGAGGACAACCAATCATAAAGCATCCTACTGGGAATGAGGAGAGCTGATCATCCAGAATGTTGCTGAGCACCGAGGACAACCAATCATAAAGAATCCTACTGGGGAAGGAGGAGAGCTGATCATCCAGAATATTACTGAGCACCGAGGACAACCAATCATAGAGAATCCTACTGGGGAATGAGGAGAGCTGATCATCCAGAATATTACTGAGCACCGAGGACAACCAATCATAGAGAATCCTACTGGGGAAGGAGGAGAACTGATCATCCAGAATATTACTGAGCACCGAGGACAACCAATCATAAAGTATCCTACTGAGGAAGGAGGAGAACTGGTCATATAGAATACTGCTGGGCAATAGCAACAACTGATCATACAGAATCCCAACTGGGCAACAAGGAGAACTAAAGAACCTGTGATGGAGTCAGGTAAGTCATGAATGTTTGTGTGTTATCATGTAGAATAGATACCCTTCTAGAATCATTCAAAGAATATTACAGACACTATATTGCCAAAAGTATTGTCCCCGCCCTCCAAATCATGTGATTCAGATGATCCAATACCCTCCATGGCCACAGCTGTATAAAATAATCATCCCCTAGGCATGCAGACTACTTCTACAAACATTGGTGAAAGAATGGGTCGCTCTCAGGAGCTCAGTGACTCCAAGCGTGGTCCTGTGATAGGTGGCCACCTGTGCAATAAATCCATCCGTGACATTTCCTGGCTACTAAATATAGTGGGATTATAACAAAGTGGAAGCAACTGGGAACAACAGCAACTCAGCCACCAAGTGGTAGGCCACGTCACATGACAGGTCGGGGTCAGCGCATGCTGAAGCGCACAGTGTGCAGAAGTCGCCAACTGTCTGCAGAGTCAATAGCTAAAGACCTCCAAACTTCTGCGTAGAGAGCTTCATGGAATGGGTTTCCATGGCCGAGCAGCTGCATCCAAGCCTTCCATCACCAAGTGCAATGCAAAGCGTCGGATGCCGTGGTGTAAAGCATGCCGCCACTGGAGTCTAGAGCAGAGGAGACGTGTTCTCTGGAGTGACCAATCGCACTTCTCTGTCTGGAAATCCGTTAGACATGTCTAGGTTGCCAGGAGAACAATACTTGCCTGACTGCATTGTGCCAAGTGTAAAGTTTGGTGGAGGGGGGGATTACGGTGTGGGATTGTGTTTCAGGGGTTGGGCTTGGCCCCCTAGTTCCAGTGGAGGGAACTTATAAGGCGTCAGCATACCAAGACATTTTGGACAATTTCATTCTCCCAACTTTGTGGGAAGAGTTTGGGGATGGCCCCTTCCTGTTCCAACATGACTGCCCACCAGTGCACAAAGCAAGGTCCATAAAGACATGGAGGAGCCAGTTTGGGGTGGAGGAACTTGACTGTCCTGCACAGAGTCCTGACCTCAACCCCATAGAACACCTTTGGAATGAATTAGAGCGGAGACTGCGAGCCAGGCCCCCTCCCCCGACAAAAGTGCCTGACCTGACAAATGTGCTTCTGGAAGAATGGTCCAACCTTCCCATAGACACCCTCCTAAACCTTGTGGGCGGCCTTCCCAGAAGAGTTGAAGCTGTTATAGCTGCAAAGGGCGGG